TATTAAGAAACAAGGGAAAGACTTAATTTGTTATTTATAGTAAGTATATGGGTAGAAAAAGTATCCCTTAGATGGATATTTTGGTTAGTTTAATTGTAAAGTGTGTTTTAGCATGTAAAACCAATACTTGATATTTAATTTAGTTCAATTTTAGTGTCTGATTCTAAAAAAGAACTTTTAACTGCAAATAGTTTTCCTTTTTGTTCATATAAGCTGGAGACATTACCTAGTTTTGAATATTAATTCCACATATTTCAGTCTTTTTCTTTTCAGGTGCAGAAGAAAATAAGATAAAATATATTATAAGTAGGAGATTATTTTTGTTCCATAGAAAGTTACTTTCTGATTTTGTTGTTATACTGTATTATACTGTGCAATACTGTGCAGAGTTGTATTTCTGTACTACAAAAGTGCCATGCTACTCTATGGCATTTTTAAAAATGTTTATTAAGAGGGTGTGCCAAACAACTAACTGTAGCGAGAAAGGCTGGTCGAATCTTCCCTAGAAAGAGGAAAAACATTCAGAGACCCACTGATTACAAATTAAATATATAGACACTTGGCTCCCTTGAACGGAGTTAGTTTTTATGATTATACGCACATACCTTAGTGGTATTAACATTTTGATGGTAAAATCTTGGTGATTCTAAAGTAAATGGCAAATTAACAATAGCAGAGGGCTCAGGTGATGTGTCTCAGTTTAAAATGCCTTAAAACCAGGACAATTTCAAGTGTCACAGATAAACAATCCTCAGAATACATTTGGTGGGTTGCTGTTAGGACATCGTTCTTATAGCCCTGAGGCTTAGAAATGTACCCTTTAATTTGTCAGTATTTTCTATAGTAAATTATTTATTAAGTGAAGGTTTGTAGAATAAGAGCATGTAGTGAAGACCACACTGATACCTCTATCGCAAAAATTTCACAAGAGACTGGCATTTCTGAGACTTTTCTAACCAGTGGTGACATAATTTTAAGACCATCAGGGGACATCCATAAAGAATCATAGAATCATAGAATAGTTTGGGTTGGAAGGGACCTCTAAAGGTCATCTAGTCCAACCCCCCTGCCGTGGGCAGGGACATCTTCAACTAGATCAGGTTGCTCAGAGCCCCGTCCAACCTGACCTTGAATGTTTCTAGGGATGGGGCAGCCACCACCTCTCTGGGCAACCTGTGCCAGTGTTTCACCACCCTCAGCATAAAAAATTTCTTCCTTTCTT